ATACCTGTCGCCTTCGTCCCGCGTCGCCCGTCGCCGTGGCAGGGGCCCGTTTTCAGCAGGTCTGCAGGCAGAGGTCAGACCTGTCCGCGCTGCTCGGCGCGGCCCCGCAGGCGCCGCCGCGCGCCGCTGCGTCGACGACGTCTTGCCCTCGTCTCGCCTCTTGTCCGCTTGCCCTCTTCTCGTCCCTCTCCTTTGGCCAGCGCACTCCTCCTCCTCCTCCTCCGTCCTCCGTCCTGTTCCTCATCTCCCTCGTCCTCCTCCTCGTCATCGTCCTCCTCCTCCTCCTCTTCCTCCTCCTCCTCCTCCTCCTCTTCCCGCTCTCCGTAGCCATTTTTGCTCAAGGTTTTCTGTTTCCCTACGAAACAAGTGGGCATTGCTAGTCCGCGGCCAATTTGTAGTGTTTTCTGTGCAAACAGCTCTGCGCACACCTCTAGCCAGAACTTCGTGGCCCCCTGGCGGCCCAATCGTTCCATTCGCGTGGCCGCGATGCCTGCTGATGGCTTTTGGCCTCAATGGCCTTCAGCAGCGGCGTCGTGCAGCTGCCAGCTCGTGGTTCTGCAGGTGGTGCGTCAACCCACGGAGCGGAGAGGGGTGGTGGAACCATGCAGACCAACCGCGCTGCTCAATATGTGGCGCGAGCAATGGGATCGCATTCGTTGGCAATCGTGCTATTAGTTACTGCAGCCCCGCGTCGAGGCCTCCTAACTTCCAGCAGGACAGGCGGGCAAAGGCGGATGCCGCGCTCAAGGGTCAGTGCGAGGCGCAGGCCAAGGAAATGTGCGGCGAGCTCGACCGCTCTCGGGGCCGGGGACCCAATCCAGTCGAGGCTCGAGACTCTGCGGCTGCGCTCGCTCGTGTCGTTTTCGGACCTCTTCATCGCGCGCGTGCGGCAGGAACTCAAAGCCGAGGCTGACCAGCCCCAATCCAAGCGGGACGCCGCTATGCCCTTGTCGGCCCATTTGCATGCTGCGAGTTTCACACGCGCCAGGCGTTGGCGCGCAAGAGGGACAAGCAGAACACAGTCGTCGAGGGCCTGCGTGCGGCGCCGGCCAGGTTGGCTCGTGAACTCCTCGAGGCCCATCAATGCATGTCGGGCATCGCGGCCGAGCTGCTCGATGAAGAACAGCAGAGGGCGAAGCTGGCGACGGTGGCTCCGCTGCCGAAGCAGAACGGCGCTCTATCGCTGCGCATCGCGCTGCCCGCACTGGACCTCGCGGTGGACCAGGTCGGCCAGATTTCCAGCGCTGAGCGGCGAGGAGTCGCTCGCAAAGGAGGTGGCTGCATGCTTCAGCAAGCTGAGGGAGCTCGACAGTCCGCTGCCGCGGGCGCGGCCGAGGCCGCAGCTCGGGAACGCATGGCCGCAGGAGGCGCAGCTGCTGCCGCTGCTGCCGCTGCTGCCGCTGCCGGCGCTGCGAAGGATGCGGGGGCATCGATGCGGCAGCCCCGATGGGCACAGATGATGATCTCGAGGGCCTGCGCGCCTTCTACAGAGACATCTTCGCCGCAGAGCCTCCAGGTGACGAGCAGCCCTTGCGCGCGGCGATCAAGCGGCTTGGATCTTCTCGCGGGAAGCACCCCAAAAAGTCGACAGGCGTAGGCAGAGTATGTTGTTGATGAGGTGTTGGTTGTTCGTGTCTGTCTTTTGCGCGTTGCCTCTGTCGGCCCAGGCGATGTCACGCTGTTGAGACGATGGAGCAATTCGCGCGATCTCGCAGGTGGCCACCGCCACCGCAGGGGGGAAAAGCGGACCTTCGGCGGGGGATTCGGCCCTTGCTGCCCAGAGTTCGGCGTCTTCGGCAACTGCGCATGGCGATCGACCCGAGGAGGTTGCCATCCCTAGAGCGGGGTGCCGCGAGAGGGGTGGGCCTCCCAAGTCGTGAGCGGAGCCCCGGGGGAGTCGCTGGAGGTCTCGCGTCATGGGCGGCATCGACGGGCTCGGCTTCCGCCGGGGGATCGGTTTCCACGTCGGCATCGACTACTGGGCCACGGTCCTCGTCGCCTCTTCGAGGGACAGGCGCGGGCGAGTCCGCCGCCGTCGTGGGTCGGGGCCCTGCAGGCCATCGCCGCGGCGGCGGCGATGGCCCCCCTGTCTCGGGCGCGGCGTCGGGCGCGTCCGCCGCGGCCGCAGGTCGAGATGCTGCAGCGCAGCGCCGCGGTCGCGACGGCGGCCCCATCCGCCCGCCTTGGCTCGAAGAGGTCGAGGGCGCGCCGCGCCCCTCGAGGGCTGCCAGCGCGCGAAGTTCGCTGCGCGGGCGCTGCTGCAAGTAACGCATCATCGGGGGCGGCGCCAACTGGGTCATCTTCCGCGATGGGGATCGGTCTCCACGACGGCTTCGTTCGCTGGGCCGTCGCCCTCGTCGCCGCCTGGAGGGGCAGGCGCGGGCGCGCCCGCCGCCGTCGCGGGTCGAGGCCCTGCGGGCCGGCGCCGCGGCGGTGGCGATGGCCCCCGGGCCTCGGAGGGGCGCGGGGCGAGTCATCTGCGGCCGCGGGTCGAGATGCCGCGTTGCAGCACTGCGGTCGCGGCGACGGCCCCGCCGTTCCCACCGCTCGAATGAGTCAGGACTGCGTCGTTGCCCTTTTTGGACGTTGCGCGTTGCGCCAGCTGGAATCCTGGGAGAGTAGCGTTCTTCTGCGCTGCCCTTTGTCCTCCTCCCCTTTCCTGCCCCCGCCGCGGGCGCGTCGCCCTGACTCCGCCCCCCCTCCTCGGGCCAATCCTCGGCGGCGCGACGAGGGGGGGGGAGAGGAGGCAGGCCTTCTCAGAAGGCGGCGAAGCTTGTCGGATGCCCTCTGTGGCTTTAGAGGAGGCTCTTAGAAGTTACCCAGAAGGAAGCGGGCCTGCCGAAGCGTCTGAGAATGCCCGCTCCCTCTGCCTTTTCCCCTGGGCTCGCCTCTGACATCAATCCTTCTACAATTACTCAACATGAATACTACTCTCCTCCATCCCCTGATGACGGGTTGGGAGTGTTCGCCCCCCCCGCGTATTTTTTTTTACACTCAGGATTCCCCGGACCTGGGTTTTCGCCTCCATTTTTGTTTCAAAATGCTGCTCTCGCTGAGGCGCCGGCCTCATTTTCGGGCCCCGCTCGTTCCGAATCGTGCTCCCGCTGCAGCGCTGGCCTCATTTCCGTGCTTCCGCTCGTGCCGAACCGTGCTCCCGCTGCAGCGCTGGCGTCATTTCCCGTGCCATGCCACGGCATGCAATGCAATGCTAGGTTGCGTTCCGCTGCGCGATGCCATGCCTTCAGCTGAAGCTGTGATATGCAGTGTTTAGTGCCACGTCGTGCTATGCCATGCTACGCTTTGGTCTTCAACGCCATGCTCTGCAATGTTATGTTCGGGGCCGCTGTGCGATGCCATGCTTTGCGTTGCAAAGCTTTGTGATGCAATTCTTCACTACGCCACGCCACGCCATGCTGTGACATACTACGCTTTGCGGTGCTCTTCTACGCCATGCCATGCCGTGCCGTGCTCTACAATGCATCGCGTACCCTTTCGAGATCATTGCCCTGCTCGACATCCGACTGTGCGAGTAGAGAGGGGATTTACGCCATGGTAAGGGATGGGAGGGAGGGGTAGGATGTCAGATATGACGCGAGCGCACCTAGCTTGTCCTCTCCCCCTCCCTCCCTCCTCCTTCTCCTCTTCATCCTCCTCCTCCTTCCGCTCCTCCTCGTCCTCCTCGTCCTCCCCTGAGATCCGATTTGCTAAAAGTACAAAAGCGCGAGAAAGCATGCTTAGAGCCCTAGCCGAGACCCTGGTCCCCATCTGCCTGCGGCACTGTCCGAGCCGGATCGATCTGCGATGGTCCCGCGGCCCGACGACCGGGCGAAAATGCCCAGTGCGAAAAATGCAAAGGCGTCTCGCGGAACCCCACCAGCCCATCCAGAAACGGTGCCCAGGCGAGTTGCATTGATCAGGGATGTGGAGGAGCACGCAGTGGAACAAGGGGTTGAGGAGGCCGTGAAGCCCCGAGAGGGGGAGGATGGAGGAGGAATCGGAGGAGGCGGAGTAGTTCCTTGATTTTTCGACTACGTTTGAAGATTCCTCCTGCAGAGGGACATGCCCGACTTAAGGGCAGCGTGACCCCTCCCCATGCCCTCCCCCCTCCCCGCCGTCCCTGTCAAAAACTGCTGCAAAGTGATCGCGGGGCGTCCGCGCAGGGTCCAGACTCTGGGGCAAAGGTCACTTTGTAGTGTATTGTTCTGTTGCCTGGGATGGCGGGGGGGGCGCTGGCACAGCGCACGGCGGGCAACATGCCCCCCCCCCCGCGCCGCCCCTGTCGAGTGCCAACGCGGAGTGGGCGCGGGGCGTCCGCCAGATATTGGCGCAACATGCGCTTTGTATAGTTTTTGCCGGGGATGGCGGGGGGGGCGTCGGCAGTGCCCAGGGTTCGTCGCCGGTCGGGCGGGGGAGGCGGCGTCTACGCATGAACAATGCCAAGCCCTTTCCCGAAAGGGAAAACATGGGTTGGAAGAGGACACTTGCGAAACCACTCACGCCCAGTGGGCTGGTGAGATTTCCAACGCCAGGATCTCGGCTGGGCGGGGCTAGGACAGGGATGAGTCGTTCCAGAGCTTTCTGGACCGCTCTCAGAGCGTTCCGGAACCCTATGAGAAAGGCGCATCCTCTAGACCTGCCCGATCTCAGAGATCCCCGATTATCCTGGTCCTTGTCCGGTGTTGTCCCTATCCTGGCCCAGTCTTGCTCGAGGTCTCTTCTCCAGGCGACCACGCGTCCTCCCCCTTCCTCTCCATTCCTCCCCCTGCCTCCCCCCATTCCTCCTCCTTCCTCCTCCTTCCTCCTCCTTCCTCCTCTTTCCTCCTCCTCCTCCTCCCTTCCTCCTCCTCCTCCTCCTCCTCCTCCTCCTCCTCCTCCTCCCTCTCCCCTCCTCCTCCTCCTCCTCCTCCTCCTCCTCCTCTTCTCCTCCTCCTCCTCCCTACTCCCCTCGACGCCATTATCTCAAGGTCGTCCTTCCTCCCTGCCTCCCTCCCTCCCTCCAGGCGACCACGCCTGCCGGGCCCGCAGCCCCTCGCTGGACTACCTGTGGTGGGGCTTCTCCAGCCACGAGCGGCGGGCGCTGGCGGGCGAGTAGGGTCGCTCGCGCGCCCCGCCTCGGCGTCCTCTGCGCCGGGCTCCCCGGCGCGGGGGGCGCCAGGCGTGGTCGACGGGCCCTCGGAGGCCCAGCAGAGGAGGAGGAGGAGGAGGAGGAGGAGGAGGAGGAGGAGGAGGAGGAGGAGGAGGAGGAAGAGGAGGGGAGGAGGGGGAAGTGAGGAGGAGGAGGAGGAGGAGGAGGAGGAGGAGGAGGAGGAGGAGGAGGAGGAGGAGGAGGAGGAGTAGGAGGAGGGGGAGGTGGAGGAGGAGGAGGAGGAGGGGGGGGAGGAGGAGGGAGGAGGAGGAGGAGGAGGAGAGGAGGAGGAGGAGGAGGAGGAGGAGGAGGAGGGAGGAGGAGGAGGAGGAGGAGGAGGAGGAGGAGGAGGGGGCGAGGGCGAGGGCGAGGGGGAGGAGGGAGGAGGAGGGAGGAGGAGGAGGAGGAGGAGGAGGAGGAGGAGGAGGAGGAGGAGGAGGAGGAGGAGGAGAGGAGGAGGAGGAGGAGGAGGAGGAGGAGGAGGAGGAGGAGGAGGAGAGGAGGAGGGGAGGAGGGGGAGGGGAGGAGGAGAGGAGGAGGAGGAGGAGGAGGAGGAGGAGGAGGAGGAGGAGGAGGAGGAAGAGGAGGGGGAGGAGGGGAAAGTGAGGAGGAGGAGGAGGAGGAGGAGGAGGAGGAGGAGGAGGAGGAGGAGGAGGAGGAGGAGGAGGAGGGGGAGGGGAGGAGGAGGAGGAGGGGGGGGAGGAGAGGAGGAGGAGAGGAGGAGGAGGAGGAGGAGGAGGAGGAGAGGAGGAGGAGGAGGGAGGAGGAGGAGGAGGAGGAGGAGGAGGAGGAGCAGGAGGGCGAGGGGAGGGGAGGGGGAGGAGGAGGAGGAGGAGGAGGAGGAGGAGGAGGAGGAGGAGGAGGAGGAGGAGGAGGAGGAGGAGGAGGAGGAGGAGGAGGAGGAGGAGGAGGAGGAGGAGGAGGAGGAGAGGAGGATAACCGCGCTTCGCGCCTCGCGGCTTGTCGTTGGAGGGGCCTGGCACGTTGCCGCGCCATGCGTTCCGACGCGCGGCTTCGTGTCTTGGGGAGGGCGTCTCGGCCATCAGAGCAAACTCAGCCTCAGGCGCAGGGTTTGCCGTGGGTGTGCCGCGGTGCTGGGTTTGTCCATTTGGGCGCAGCGGGTACAAACGGCGCGACGACAGCTGGAAACCACTCGGGCTGGAGAGCCCGTCCCGGGGAAATGGCGGAGACCTCCGCGGGCCCACATTGGGACATGAGTCGCGACGCCAGGGGCCAGACTCAGTCGGAGGCGACGATAGGTGCGAGTAGCAAAGGGGCGGGCGTCACATGTATCCGCCCGGGTGCCTCGCGGAAGGCATGGACCATCGGCGCCCCTGGATACGTCTATTGCTCTCACCTGGGCTATTCGCCCCCGTCATCGCCCCCGGCTCAGCGTGCCCTGGAAACGGCAGCCGTGGAGGATTTACAGCCGGGGGCGTCTGCTCAGCGTGTCGCGCCGCCAGTTTTGGCCCACCACGCTTTGGCGCGGCGCGCTATGCCAGGACGTCAACGCCCCGAGATCTTCCCCGCCTCACGCCGCGCGGAACAGAGCGACACGCCATCGGCTCGCAGGGGTGGCCGCTGCGACACGCTACCCAAAAGTTCCTGACTGTAGTGAGCCCTGGATACGGTAAGGCCTTGGTTGTTGCTCCCATTCCGTGCTTCGGTGGTGGGTTTCCTGGTTCCGCCGTGTTTCTTTTTTATTTCCGTTTCCGTCGTTTTTGTTTCCGGTGTTGGCCCCGATTCCCACGCAGTTGTCTCCCGCCGTTTCGGGGAGCAGCTTTTTGTTGGGTTAGCCGATGCCAGGTTCAAGACCCAGATTTCTTGGGAACGGAAGCGACCGCACAGTGTCCAGGGCCCAAAGAGGGGCCCCGAGGGCCCCAGGCACCCAGCGTCTCGAACAAAATTGGCACGGAGGTTGCTCGTCGTTGTCAGCCTCTTGGGGCCAGCTGCTTTGGTTTAGAGACAAGACGTCTGCGGGCTCCAGCAGCATCAAATAAAACGCACAGACCCGCATCTTCTCGCACCTCGATCGTGGAGCGGCGGTTGCGGCGGTTCAGCTGCAAGAGAATCGCCTGAAACTTCAAATCCCGACAGCAGGGGGTAATGGGATCCACCCAGGTCGCCAGCTGGTTATGGTCTCCCCCGAGTGTGCACGCCTGTCTGCTCCAGCAGAGCAGCACCGTGCAGCGCTGGGCCATCAGCTATCTTGGGTGACCCGTGCAGCGCTCAGCCAACAAGGGTACCCACCACCGTGGGAGCGTCGACCGTAGGCAGGTGTGGCCCGCATTCTTGGCACTCGTGGTCCCATCCACCAGTCAATTCTTCGGTTTATAGACGCAGCACCCCGCAATTGCGGGTATAAAAGGGTGAGGGAATGGGCGCGGGGTGGATCGCGGGTGAGGTGACTAGCGGGTGGGCCGCAGGTTGGGTCACGGCTTGGGTCGCGGGGGGGGGAGGGGGGCGATGACAGCAGCACCAAGCAGAATTCGGGATGGTGTAAGGGCGTCCTGTCCCCTCACTGTGACCTTTGGCTCCCGCGCCGTCGCACAGCAAGAACGGCTCCCGGGAAAGTGCCGAAAATCTGGCGGGGGCCCCACGGCTTGCGGCCCGCGAAGAACTCGGGACATCGGATGCCCTTGCAGAGATCTTCGGCGAAGGCCCCCAGGAGAAGGGGGAGGAGGAAGAGGAGGAGGAGAAGGAACACCATTCGGCCGAGGAGGGGCTGGGACCGTCGCGGTTTCGCTCGTCGTCGGTCGCCCTTTCGGTCGTGGTTCGCGCGCCGCGGAGCCATCAAAGATAAGACAAAGAGGCGCCGCAACCACGGCGGTCCCCCCGACCGCCACGCCCAGGACAAAGGAAGAAACCTGGCACCGCCGCGCCAGGACCCAACGCTGACACGACAGGCTGCTCATAAGGCTGGCGGCCGCCGCCAGCAGGCTGGAGCAGCACCACAGCGCCCAGCAACCCCAGCGCCACCAGCAGCACGTGATGGCGCAGCAGTGTCGATGAACAGGATGGCGGGACTACAGGGGATCAGCGGAAAAGGAGGACAGGAGCAGGGTCCTCAACCGCTGGCCCAGCTCCCGCCGTCGGCGAGAGACCGTGCCCGTGGAGATCTCAGGGCTGGAGGTGGAGAAACGGATGGAACACGCGCCTATCATCCTCAAGAAAAAGCCAGACGCCTAAGAAGAACGACGAAGGCGGCCAGCAGAGAGACCGCATCAGGATAGACCCGCTCAGCTTCTCCAAGAAGCTGAAGGAAATCATTGGCAGCATCCTGCAGGCCACCAAGGCGCGCGCTCGTACACATGAGAGTTATGGTGATCCACCTGAGGGTCCTGACCTACGACGCATGTGGGCCCACACCAAACAACAGAGACTTGCGCGCCTGGCAGACCAGATAGCAGGAGCCCGCTGAGCCAACGTCGACGACAGGAAGCTCATTGCCGAGGTCGCCATCACAAATGCCATGATCGCCTTCATCGACCCGCCTACAGTTAGGCTTGAGAAGTACAGAGAAGAGCCCGAGGCGATAAACGCAAGACAGAAGATCCTGAATGCCGAGATCGACGCCAGAACCCAAGAGGAGAATAATTTTTCCGGCCAGCCACGCCAACCAGCTCAAGGAGATCATCGCCGAAACCAAGCATGAGAACAATGCAAGAGGGGATCCCGCATATCACGCAGACTCCGAGGACGATAGCGACGAGAGGACAGAGGACATTGGGAGACGGCAGAGGACGCTCTTCAGGCAAAGGAGTCGCGAACCTCACCAGCGCCGACCAAGGTCCCCCCCTCCCTCGGCGAAGGACTCAACATCAGCACCGACGACCTCAAACGGCCAGGACATTGCCAAGCTAGTCGGGGCGCTCAGCAAAGGATCGAGTCCCAGGAAAAGTCGGCGAGGATGATGCGTCAGGAGACCGTTGAGACGGCCGCCCACCACCAGCGACACCTCGGGCATTTCCACCACGAGCAGGCCACGATGATGACCATGGCCACAGAAGCCCAGAGCTGCGCTGCAACATCATTCCAATTTCATCGCGAACATGAGGCCGCCCAGCTCCAGGCGCGCCAATATCTACGCCACGAAGAAGAGCGACCCGCACAAGCCGCTCGCGCGGCACAGTGCGGAACGACTCGCAGAAGAAGCCCGCGCGGCACAGGGGGTTGACTAGCGCGCGAGGCGCGTGCAGCAGACCTGGCAGCACAATGAGAACGCCTCGCCCACGCAGCAGGGCTCGCTCGAGCCAATCGACGAGCCCAGGAAGATCGGGAAGAGCAGATCACCTACATGATGTGGACCAACGAGCAACCACTGTTCGATCCGCACAACAAGATGTGTCAGGAACAGGCTCAATTGCTCCACGCCGAGAAGGCGGAGGCTGCGCGCGAAATCAACGAGAGGGCGAACAACGACTGCAATCAGATGCAGGAAGCCACGGGAACATTTCTCGAGGAATACGGACAACTACAGGCGCACCGACATAGAGCAGTCCAGGGGCAGCGCCAATATGACAGGGAGATCACCATGATGCGTGTCTCAGAGTCTACACCAAGGCCGAGAAAGCAACGAAAGAAGTCAACCAGTGCGAGATGGAGGAACGCACCACCAGACACATAACAGAACGAGAAGAGCTGCACAGTGAACTTCACAGGGCCCATCACTGGGGGAGCGACCTGGATGCGGACATCCTGCGCGGAATCGACGCGCAGCTGAGGGGGCAGGGTGACGACGAAGAAAAGAGATGCGCCATGGCAGATCAAGAACAAGCTCACGCTGATCGCCAAGTTGAAGCAGCTTTTCACCTCATATCTCCTGGCTCCACCGGCAGCGACTCCAGCGGCTTCGCATCCTGCCCCAAGCTGAGAAGCAGTGACAGCATCGCCCCACACCACAGCACCGCCGACTCTGATGCACGGGGACGGCGAGACATTGGGTTGGCAGCTACAAGACCGATGTC